GAAATCCAAGTCAATCAGCAAATATCAAATTTCTGGGTACAATAAACTTACATAAACACATTGCCACATGTAATTTTAACTTGAGCTGTCTTAAATATTTACTATGGATTGAAATAATGATCCTTGACTTGGCTTTGCATTGTACACAGAATTCGGAACTTATCTATCCAATAATATTACTAACTATGTACTAACCTTTTGTCTGAATGGCCACTGTAACAGGGAATCATAATCACCTTTCATGACAACAAAGAATAATGACATATGAGTACCTTTACCCATACCATCACCATTTAAATACACCCTGGCACACATCTTATAACCATATTTACTGGTATAGAATGGTTGACTGTAAAGTGATAACGTCATTCCAGACAATGCTTCACGTTTACGTCTTGCGAAGTCTTTGATCTTCCATATCAGAATCCCATCATAAGAAGCTGTCTCTAACACTTGGAAACGTAGATCCTGTTCTGCAAGTCTTACATCATGCATACCAAGCTGTGTACCTACTTGTACAAGCTGTTTACGTAACTCATCTGTAGATAAATAAATGACACTTAAAACAAATCTATGCCTGTTTTGTTATCTGTCTCAATTTACATTAGATGCAATTCCAACCAACGTCAAGTACTAGTATAATATTAAGATATTTATTAATTCAACGACCAATATAGACAAGCAGATTGTGTATAATGCAATTATTCTAAGAAATGAGTCATGCTTGAAATGTACTAAATGTAAAATGACCACAGTACATACCACTTATTTATTACTGTCTATAACTACTGCAGTCTTTGTTCCCATTTTTAAGAGAATATACTGTAAACCATTCAAATTTTCTCATTATACAGTTTGATAATTTTATGCCATTCATCAAAATTCAATTTTACGAGTCTGTCATTATTATTTTTACTGATACAATATTTGCCAATTGTTTTTATTTTCAATGCATGCCAATCCATACATTGCCACTCATGCACACAACATGCTATTAGGAGTACTGGTAACGTATGTTTCACCATAAATACAACACAAATAATTGTTACTAATTTTCTTTTAACCGTGAGTCTTACCGACGTCCTTAGAGTTTGCACCACCAGAAGATCTAACCATTGGTCTCCTTTCAATCTGGTCCATCCGGGTTGTTAACTCTGCACAACTCTCCTGAACAGCATGTACAAGTGTTCTGTTTTTCTCTACATCTGTCTTCAAAGCTTTCTCTTTCAAATCATGTTCCAGTTTTATTATCTTGTCATTCTGCATTGCAAGGGTTTTCTGAAATTACAATTAATTTGAAAGATGTGTCAACACGATGACTTTGTATAACAGTAATCTATTCAAAACATTGATCATGTTTAATTGTTTACGTCACAATTCACAGTAATTACACTGGCACATGTGTCAACAAGGTACGTATATGTGTGCTACCTATATAAGCTTTGTTATTTGGTTAGTGCCCAACATTTTATAAGTGATATTATAATGTTACCTTAAATTTACTAAAATGAAAGCACTATATGTGATGGAATTATTAACAAAGCTAAGAATGATTTACTGTATTTCAATCAAACCCTTTCAGGAATTTTTTTAATTGTTTTTTTTTTAATAGTTACTAAAGAGCACTAAAGAGCACAAAACAGCAGTTAAAACAGGGTGTCGTAGAAATATCAGGAAATATCAGAAAGTAGTTGCTGTCACTCAACATGTCAAAAGAAATGAAATGAAATGAAAAGAAATGCAGCAATTGAACAATTCTCACAAGCAGTCAGTCGTGTGTAAAAGCCAGCTCTGGACTTGCGCAGAACACTTGAAAATGTTGGAACACCATTTACAGTCTGCATTTCAGAAATACTCAAATTGTTACTGACATAAAATATAACACGAAATTGTTGTTATAGGCAACCCGCATTCAGATTAGCTTTGGAAAATAAAGCCCATAAATGCGAACAATACATCGTTGTACAAAGAGTTTTAAATAGAGGCAGCTTAACCGGAACAGAGCACGTAATCACGGACCAAATAGTTGGCTCTTGCATAAAAAAACTTTATTTGACGCTTTATGTAACAACTATCATTACTTAATGTGCTCACAATAACTCCTAGGAATAAACATGGAAGGCACTATTGGTACCTTTCCATGGTATAAATAATCCAACTTAGAACCATTTATATGCACATGAGGAATAAGTGTAATACTATTATGAGGAGTCAGTATATACATACACTTCATTTCATTTCATCAGTATCAGTAATAATATGTTTGATATATGAATACCATGTGCTCACCAATAACATCAGCAATATTCATATATCACTTTTTATTGGACTGTATTCACCTTGTAATTGAACAACCAATGAATTTAGCTGCCCTCCAAGGATGATACAACTGTGGTCAAGGAAAGGCAGAAAGATCCCAGCTGATGAACTCCTTCATGAACAAGAGTTTATCCATAACTAATTGTGTGTGGTTAAATTATATACTGCAAATCTCTTTAATTGCCTATTAATGATGACAAAAATCAGTACTATGGTAATACTTCCTACATGCAAGTCTTTGACTCTCTCGTCAAGTTTTATATTCTTCTTTTTGATTTCTTGTAACTCTTCCGATTGTTGTTTGAATTTGTTCTCGACAATACTTTTCTGGTTGTATAGTTCTGAATATTTCCTGTCAAGTTCTGCATGCTTCAACTCCAATACTTCATGAGACTTTAGAATCATTTGCATATGTTCTGAGGATGCTGTATTTAGATGATGTTGGATATCAGTCACATGTCCCTGTAATGCAGACAAATGGTAAAATATTTATTTACGGACACATGTATTCTGTAAAATCAAGCTTTTTTATTTATATATTAGGCCACACCGACTTAATTTTATGGATGGCTTGTCGTAAAACTCGTTTTGGACTACCTCAAAACATGCCAATTTTGTCGTAAATGATTTCAACATGGCGACCACGCCACCAAAATACGTGAGCATAAAAGTTCAGAGGAAAAACGGAGGGATTGTTGTAGACTGGTACGCAATTGATGTCGGCCAGGGAGATGTGACGTTTACACAGCTATACGAGGGATTGGTAGCAGAAAGCGAGTTTCGCCCAGACAACTTTAAGGACATATTGTCCAGAGTGGCTATCCAGCGTTTCTTCTGCAACGATGAGAAAAATGGGAGAGGAGTGGAGGCGTATGTTGGCCTAAAAGTTGGTCAGGCGACAAGTCAGTTCGGTTATTTTGTTAGCATTGAAGTCGACAAAACTGCAAAGAGAGCAGAGGAAGTTCCTCGGCCGAAGTACGCTTTTGAGGCGAAGACAATTTTCTTCTTATTTTTTTTTTCATTTTCTGATTCGAATAATTTGCTTAAGTAGTGATATGTACATGTGTACATTCTGCCTTGACTTGTACTGAAGATGGTGTTCATGCTGTACCTTGAATGCAGTGTTTCTGACTGAAGGTAATTCATCATGACTACATGTACTAGAGCTTGTCTGAAATGGTTATACCTGTGACGGTATTACAGTACGAGAGGTGTACATCAACATGTGCCTCCTACAAATAAAGACTTTTTTACACTCTGTTCTTTGGTTCAATTCGTAATACCAGCTCCGTAGTCCTGTGGTTTTAGCAGCATTGTTTTTATTTTGGCAGGATTTTTTTTTTATGCCCTCTCGCATTAGTTTTCGGGTCTCCAGAGGATGTCATCCATAAAATTAAATCAGTGTGGCCTTATTACCATAATGTATTCTTTAGTTCAAATGACTTTCTGTCATTTGTTTATTTTTAATTTTATCTGAAAACTTTAGGGATAAAGAACAGCTGTTCATGACAATGTCCATATCAAAACATGGCAGCCTTCTATGTAAAGATGTATTGTTGTTTCCAATAATTTGTTGTCACTCAGAAATCTAGCTTAACCAAGATTTCTAAGCCATGCATACAGGCATTCTTCATTTTGAAAACAATCCAAAAAACTAAAATAACGTGTATCAAGGTCCTATTGTGTTAAGTTTAAACTAAATCTGTTCACATATGACTGAGGTCTGGTTCCAGAATAGACATAATGTGTGAATTTGATGCATTTTTGGCATTAAAATGGCTGCCATTCAGTCATCTTGAATCAGATCATGTGCATATGTCAGATATAATGTCTGATGTATGTTCAAAGTTTGAACTTGAAGATGCATGGTGAATATACAAATGGATGCTTTTTCAGGTACATGTGTACTATAAATGTACTATTTCTTATATGACAATAATAATACAAGAAAGCC